AAGGAGGTGGAGATCCAAATGTGCCGTTTCGTATGTCTGGTGGATGAAAAATAATATTGTCTTTCCAATTTGCTGTCTCATCATGACAATATTTGAGGGAAAATTTTATTAGATTATTGGTTGGAAGGTATTATTGCATAACAGCAGGGATAGCAATGTTATTATTTATGTATGTGCTACGCCACTGGCAAAATGGGTTTCGACCATCTCCCGCAGGAGCGCGCCACCATCCAGCGCGCAGCCTACCACTGCCGACCGGAAGACCGTTGAATTTTGAACGGTCCAATGGGATGCCTTCCTCTCGGAGCGACCAGGAGAGAGGCCGGAAGAAGCTACCATTTTGACCATAACCAGAAAATCTGTTCGGTATAGACAATTTTTCAATTACGACAGTTTCTCATGAAATGTACTACAATACATTGAACAAAACATAAATGTAATCAATAAAAATACAGTCCACTATACACAACATTTGGTCCAATCGAGCCGGATAGCCAGTGAAACAAGCAAGTAAACAAGAAACAAGTTCACAAGTGCAGGCGGCAGGCAAGAATCCACGCCATATTCACAGAAGTTCAACGCAATCAGCAATACAAGTGGAAGACAGAAATCCACGCAGGTACCCATTTACCATTTCCTTGATTCAGTCAATATAGCGACAAATGCTACTTTGAATTTCGACTCGTATTATATGTGCAGGCATTCAACAGCCTAGAAAAGCAATATACTCTCAAGTGAGAACGTTTACTGGTGTCAATTTATGCCCAATTCATCAATTTCGATCATTTTTTATCGATACTCATTCACATAAAGCAATTACACAATGGCACAATCAGTTTTGATCAGGAAACGAGGCACAATCAAAGCCAAGTTGGCTCATTTTGAAAAATTCTTGAACAGCGTACAGCCTCAAGATTTAGACAGACAAACTATAATTCATATGCAAGAACGGTGTACTAAATTCGAAACCCTTTTTGACAGCTTCGATGAAATTCAGTCAGAAATTGAATGTGAATCAGATAAGCCAGAAGCATGCTATGCAGAAAGAGAGGATTTTGAAACCAAGTTCTATCTTCAGCTCTCAAGAGCTAAATGTTTATTAGAATCACGAAGTAATCTCAGTAACAACATTCCTCACAACAATGATGATCACAATGATGACACTAAATCACAACAATCTGAATCTGATACGCAATCAATTTCAGAGCAATCAGTTTACACACAAGGTCAGGCCACTCATGTTATTCAGTCACAAAATGATGGCTTCAAACTGCCTGATGTAGATTTACCAAAATTCAATGGCGAATATGAGTCTTGGATGGAGTTTCGGGAAACCTTCGAGTCCATGATACATATGAATACACAGCTACACAACATACGTAAGTTTCACTATTTGCGGGCTTCATTAGCAGGAGATGCAAACCGTGTAATTCAAGAAATCGAATTTACAGCAGACAACTACAGCATAGCTTGGCAAGTTCTTAGAGACAGGTATGATAACAAACAGGTTCTAATTCAAAATCATTTACGTGCAATTTGCAACTTTGAGGGTTTCAGCACTGCTTCATCAGCAAAAATCAGAGAAGTATCTGAGAATCTTTTCAAACATTTAAAAAGTCTAAAGCAGTTAGGTATCAGCATAGAAAAGTGGGATGTCCTAGTCATCTATTTAACAGTCAGTAAATTAGATCGCTATTCAAGCCAAGAGTGGGAGCGGCACACAGCAAATACAGATATACCCACATTGGTTGAGTTTAAAGATTTCCTCAGAAAAAGAGCAACATTGTTAGAAAAACTAGAAATGAATTATGTTTCAAAAGGTGATTCATCACGATATCAATCAGATAAAAGATATTCAAAGGGTTCTGCTCGTTCAAAGGGTTTAGTCACTAGTGGTATCTCAAATCAAGGTGAAAATGTTAGCAAATCAAACAGAGTTTGTTACAATTGCAAAGGTGATCACAGCATATTTTATTGTTCGGACTTCTTGAAATTATCAGTACAAGAGCGATTCAACAAAGTCAAATCGCTGCAATTGTGCCTGAATTGTTTAAGAAAGGAACACACGGCGCGCTCCTGCGGGAGATGGTCGAAACCCATTTTGCCAGTGGCGTAGCACATACATGCCCCGGGCCTTGGGAATCCTGCGGATGGACAACCGGCAATGGAACCAGGCGATTGATAGCTCTAGAAGTCATTCCGTTCTCGGTTTTCAACGATGCAACTGGGACACTCCGCTGCCAGTTGACATGCGCAAGTCATGGCTCAGTCTTGCAGAAGGCTTAAATATTTTGAATAAGCTTATCATCAATCGCAAGGTAGTATGTGACAAGGCAACGGCAATATCAATGCATGCATTTGCAGATGCTTCGGAAAAAGGCTACGGAGCATGCGTATACATTGTATCTGAAAATGCAAGTGGTAATAAAACCGCCAACCTTCTGTGCGCTAAATCTAAGGTTGCGCCTATCAAATCTCAATCAATGCCTCGACTAGAATTATGCGCTGCGTTAGTTGCGTCTCAATTAATTGCAAAATATCAAAATCAATTGACACCTCATTTAGTTCCATTCACTGTTGGACGGACTCTACGATTGTTTTGGGCTGGCTAAAATCCAACCCTAGTACTTTGAAACCATTTGTAGCCAATCGCGTCTCAGAAATTCAGCGACTGACAGAATCTATAGAATGGCATCATGTTTCCACTCTGGACAACCCAGCTGACATTGTCTCGAGAGGTCTCAGCCCTAGTTCTCTAATGCATTCAAAGTTATGGTTTCATGGACCAGACTGGTTATTATACCTCGATCAATGGCCAACCTCGCCAATATTATTATCAGAACTACCGGAACAGAGGAAAGTGTGTAATGTTTCCTCCACACCAGCAATTCATTTTCCCTTTCATAGATTCTCCACCCTAACCAAATTAAAACACTGTTCAGCGTATATTTTGAGATTTATAAATAATTCACGTTTAAAACCAGATGATCGTGCGCTTGAGCATTTTACAGTAAACGAACTAGAAAGATCCTTCACCTTTTTGATACGATTAGCGCAACAGGAAGCGTTTTCAGAGGAGATCAGTTCTTTACAAAAGAATCGTAAACTTCAATGCAATAACCGCTTAGTTAGCTTAAACCCATTCATAGACGAATGCGGAATCATGCGCGTTGGAGGGCGCTTGGTAAACTCTGAATATCCGTATGATAAAAAGCATCCAATTGTGCTTCCTCAAAAACACCACCTTACTAGACTTATATTCGAACATGAGCATCGGACCTTACTTCACGCGGGTCCGCAACTTTTGCTAGCTACCATACGAGAGAATTTTTGGCCCATTTCCGGGCGCAATCTGGCACGAAAAATAGTACGGGAATGCGTAATTTGCGCTAGGCATGCTGCACGTAACTTTCAACCAATCATGGGTTCATTGCCTAACAGCTCGTTCAGACGACTCGGTCACGATCATTTAATCGAACCGGTAAAAGTATCGAATCTCGCAGTGGCGCAATATTTTAAATCTGCATATTCACACGATGCGGTCGTACCCCATATACGGGAAAACTGCCGATTCGTTCGGACTTGCATTCGGTTCGCGCCACTGGCAACCGTATGGTCGCATGCGGTTGTGTTCGGGAAAAAAACCGAATCGGCCTTCAGTGGCACGTACAATGTATATTGGCCATTTCACCTCCAGTCGCGATTCGATTATCTTGCCGAACGGCACTTGTTTTCGGCTTTAAATAGTTTGCTCATATTTATGGTATATACCTACATATATACAATGGAGAAAATAAATACGGAGCTGTTGATAAGTTTAGTGGAAGCGAGACCCGCTTTATGGGATAAAACACTTGACACATATAAAGACAAAAATTTAAAGTCGTCAGCATGGAGAGAGTATGTTCTCTGTTAAAGGAGAATTTCGAAGATATGGAACAAAAGGAGAGGCAGGCTTTTGGTAAGTATTTTATTGTTTATTTTGACATACATAAATTTACTAACCGATGGCTTCATCTTGCCAAGAAACAGAACCAGCTTCTGTTAGAAAATAGTCAGCAAAAGTTGTTCTTATGGAATTGGCAGATAGTCCTCCTCGTATATTTTGTGCTTTTGGTAAGTTGTCAAGGTGGATTTCTGGCAAATGAGCGTTTTCAAAATTAAACCCGTCTTTTTCTCGGACAAAATTATGTAACACAGTACACGCTTTTACTATCCATATTGCTGTTTCTAGTTTAACATCTAGAGGACGATGAAATATCCTCCATCTATTAGCTAAGATGCCAAATGCACATTCAACATATCTTCTAGCGCGAGTAAGTCGGTAATTAAATATTCGCTTTTTCTTGTCTAAATGTGTACCGCCAAAAGGCCTTAATAAATTGTCATGCAATCCGAAACCTTCATCGCCAATAAACACAAAGGGTACATTTATTTGTGTCTGTTCTAAAGGTCTGGGTGTTGGTATGTTTAAAGCGCCCTGTGTCAACTTTTTCCACAATGTAGATTCTTTCCAGATTGACGAATCACAATCTTTTCCATAGGACCCTATATTCACGTATATAAAACGATATTCTGAATCTACGACTGCTAATAAAACAATAGAGAAGTAATCTTTGTAGTTGAAGTACATAGAGCCAGTGTTATCGGGTTTTCTCAGTCTTATATGTTTCCCGTCTACCGCACCGAGGCAATGCGGGAAATTCGTTTTCATCCAGAATCCATTCGCTATTTCCTCCCATTTATCTGGCGTATCAGGGCATGCCATAAATTTAGTACCCATATTATTCCATATACTCCGAGTAACTTCTCTCACAATATTGCTAATTGTTGAGACACCAACTCGGTAGGAGTAATGCAGATCTTTATACGAACACCCAGATGCTAGATACCTGAAAGGAAGGAACGTTTTATTTTATTTGTTCCAGGTAAGCTGATTTTAAAAAAGTGGACATACATTCGAGACTCGTGGATGAAAGCATTGAAAAAACATAAAGACCAAAAAACAAGTGGCACATCGACCAAACCTTCAAGACTTTATATATAATGAGCAGATGTCATTCCTGAAAAAAATTACAGATTCAACTGTTTGTCATGAAAACACTAATAATGAAAATAACACCGAGATAGAAGACTTGGATGCAGAAGTTATTGAAGAGAGTGTTCCACCTGAACAACCGAATATGGAAGCAAATCAGTCTGGTAGTACTCCCATCAGTACTTCTACTGCACGCAGAAAGAGGAGTATTAATGAAGTTGATGCCAAAATGATGCGATTCATAGACCATCAAATCAACTTATCCAAGGTTTCAACAGTCAAAGAGGATGAAAATCGTCATCTTACATTCTTCAAAAGTCTTCTTCCATCATTATCATCGTTTGATGAAGATGAAACTTTGGAATTTCAGTCGAGTGTGTTAAGTTTATTGCAAAATATGAGAGCAAAGAAGCGAAGGTTGGCCGATAATATTCAAATGCCATCGCGTACAATTGCCACTTATTACAATAATTGGCAAAATCATGATTATTACAGTCAGCCACAGCCACAAACAATTTCAAGAGTAACAACACCAATGACTAGTCCATATACTGCCGAACCGTCACCCTCTACACAGTCTGTTGCAAGCCAAGATTCTATTTTAGATCTAGATATTTCCAATTTTTGATTTGTTTATTTGTATATAAAATAAAGTTTTTAAAAAATGACACCTACCTTAAGCATATCACCAATTTTTCCTCAGCACTGATACATGTTCTCATATTTGTGTCTTCTCGAGTTAAGTCTTTTTTCACTCTATTAAGTAGGTCATCAAACGTAGAGGAAGACATCCGAAAATAATTGAAAAATTTAATTTCATCTCTTCTTAATTGACACATAAGTGTCCGGAAGGACCCCAAATTAAATCTTTCTCTAATAATAGGGTGTTCCCAATATCTCCTTATTACTCGTTTTTTACAGAGTCTACGATACCAATACATTAAAACCAACATATTTGCATTCATTGTGCCAAACTCAATCAACAACTGACAAGAAGCGTATCCGCGCAAAAATATTATACCGCATCGTGTGAACACTGGACCCGATTCGGTTAAAATGTCGTTTCGGTTAAATTCCCGTGCCGTACCGTATCGTGTGAACGAGTTGTAAGGCTCGCGCTCATCCTTCTTTACCATTTTCGCATGTCGGAATTGATTATGCGGGACCTTTTGCAATCAAAGACAAAAGAGGACGAGGTTGCAAAGTTATAAAATGTTGGGTAGCTCTATTCGTATGCTTCAGTACTCGAGCCATTCATTTGGAACTTGTGTTATCATTGAGCACCGATGACTTCCTCCAAGCCCTTCATCGTTTTATTGTTAGACGTGGTAAGCCATTAGAAATATTCTCCGACAACGGTACCAATTTCATTGGGGCTGCTAAAGAGGTAAAGTATATGTACACCTTTCTTAATGAGAATTCAGAGACAATTTATTCCAAAACTGCTGACATGGGCATAAAGTGGCATTTCATACCAGTAAACTCCCCTCACTTCGGCGGAATATGGGAAGCCGGTGTAAAAGGTGTAAAACATCACTTAAAGAGATCAGTGGGACTTCATAAACTTTATCTTTTAGACTTTCAAACGCTTTTAATTCGCATTGAAGCTATATTGAACTCCCGTCCTTTATTTCCTTTGAGCTCTGACCCTGAAGATTTGACCCCTTTAACGCCTGCTCACTTCTTAATTGGTAAATCGATGCAGACTCTGCCAGTACCTACAAATATGTCTGCCCCCGAAAATAGATTGAGCCAATTCCAGTTATTAGACCGCCTGCACAGCCATTTTTGGACTAGATGGAGCAAAGAATATATCAGCGAACTGCAACAGCGCTGTCGTTGGAAGCAAACCCGAGGAGATCTACAGATAGAACAGCTAGTGCTAATGAAAGACGACAACGCCCCTCCAGCTAAGTGGCGTCTTGGAAGAGTCATTCAGCTGTCACCTGGCACCGACGGCGTCACCCGAGTTGCAACGTTGAAAACCGAGAACGGAATGACTTCTAGAGCTATCAATCGCCTGGTTCCATTGCCGGTTGTCCATCCGCAGGATTCCCAAGGCCCGGGGCATGTATGTGCTACGCCACTGGCAAAATGGGTTTCGACCATCTCCCGCAGGAGCGCGCCACCATCCAGCGCGCAGCCTACCACTGCCGACCGGAAGACCGTTGAATTTTGAACGGTCCAATGGGATGCCTTCCTCTCGGAGCGACCAGGAGAGAGGCCGGAAGAAGCTACCATTTTGACCATAACCAGAAAATCTGTTCGGTATCGACAATTTTTCAATTACGACAGTTTCTCATGAAATGTACATACAATACATTGAACAAAAACATAAATGTAATCAATAAAAATACAGTCCACTATACACAACAATTTATCTACAATAAATTGTACATCTGCCGTAAAATAATCCTCGAAAGAAGCGCTAGGTGAAAGGTCCATTGAATTTCACAAATTTCTCATAAAGTGAAGAAACTAATATATTGAGTCGTATTGAAAATTGTCTGCGTCAAAGAAAACACAGTTGCAGTCAACGCCGCAGACGTAGAACCTCTCTCTGTGCGACGTCTCTGGCGTAAGAGGAGTCGTAGGAGATCCTCTAGTAAAAACTGCCATCGCCAGGGTCTGATCACCAGCAATCCTTTCTTGAACTATTTCCGTCGGTTCAGGAAGGAGTGGCGGTTGAATACGCAAAATGTTGGTGTAAAATGTCACGTAGGGATAATCAAAAATATTACGCTGAAGCTTGTAAGAGGACGACGTAAACAGGCGTAGCAGGAGAAAGCGACGCAAACCCAGTAGGACCAGAAGAAGACGCAAAGTAAAAGAAGACGCCGAAGGAGGTGGAGATCCAAATGTGTCGTTTCGTATGTCTGGTGGATGAAAAATAATATTGTCTTTCCAATTTGCTGTCTCATCATGACAATATTTGAGGGAAAATTTTATTAGATTATTGGTTGGAAGGTATTATTGCATAACAGCAGGGATAGCAATGTTATTATTTATCTACAATAAATTGTACATCTGCCGTAAAATAATCCTCGAAAAAAGCGCTAGGTGAAAGGTCCATTGAATTTCACAAATTTCTCATAAAGTGAAGAAACTAATATATTGAGTCGTATTGAAAATTGTCTGCGTCGAAGAAAAGACAGTTGCAGTCAACGCCGCAGACGTAGAACCTCTGCGCGACATCTCCAACGTAAGAGGAGTAGTAGGTAGGATCCTCTAGTAGAAACTGTCATCGCCAGGGTCTGATCACCAGCAATCCTTTCTTGAACTATTTCCGTCGGTTCAGGAAGGAGTGGCGGTTGAATACGCAAAATGTTGGTGTAAAATGTCACGTAGGGATAATCAAAAATATTACGCTGAAGTTGTAAGAGGACGACGTAAAAAGTCGTAGCAGGAGAAAGCGACGCAAACCCAGTAGGACCAGAAGAAGACGCAGTAGTAAAAGAAGACGCCGAAGGAGGTGGAGATCCAAATGTGTCGTTTCGTATGTCTGGTGGATGAAAAATAATATTGTATTTCCAATTTGGTGTCTCATCTTGACAATATTTAAGATTGCAGATACTGTGGAAAATGCTGCAGCTTAAATTTGAGGGAAAATATTATTAGATTATTGGTTGGAAGGTATTATTGCATAACAGCAGGGATAGCAATGTTATTATTTATCTACAATAAATTGTACATCTGCCGTAAAATAATCCTCGAAAGAAGCGCTAGGTGAAAGGTCCATTGAATTTCACAAATTTCTCATAAGTGAAGAAACTAATATATTGACTGGTATTGAAAATTGTCTGCGTCGAAGAGAAAAACACAGTTGCAGTCAACGCCGCAGACGTAGAACCACTGCGCGACGTCTCCAACGTAAGAGGAGTAGTAGGAGATCCTCTAGTAGAAACTGTCATCGCCAGGGTCTGATCACCAGCAATCCTTTCTTGAACTATTTCCGTCGGTTCAGGAAGGAGTGGCGGTTGAATACGCAAAATGTTGGTGTAAAATGTCACGTAGGGATAATCAAAAATATTACGCTGAAGCTTGTAAGAGGACGACGTAAAAAGTCGTAGCAGGAGAAAGCGACGCAAGCCCAGTAGGACCAGAAGAAGACGCAGTAAAAGAAGACGCCGAAGGAGGTGGAGATCCAAATGTGTCGTTTCGTATGTCTGGTGGATGAAAAATAATATTGTCTTTCCAATTTGCTGTCTCATCATGACAATATTTGAGGGAAAATTTTATTAGATTATTGGTTGGAAGGTATTATTGCATAACAGCAGGGATAGCAATGTTATTATTTATCTACAATAAATTGTACATCTGCCGTAAAATAATCCTCGAAAGAAGCGCTAGGTGAAAGGTCCATTGAATTTCACAAATTTCTCATAAAGTGAAGAAACTAATATATTGACTGTATTGAAAATTGTCTGCGTCGAAAGAAAACACAGTTGCAGTCAACGCCGCAGACGTAGAACCACTGCGCGACGTCTCCAACGTAAGAGGAGTAGTAGGAGATCCTCTAGTAGAAACTGTCATCGCCAGGGTCTGATCACCAGCAATCCTTTCTTGAACTATTTCCGTCGGTTCAGGAAGGAGTGGCGGTTGAATACGCAAAATGTTGGTGTAAAATGTCACGTAGGGATAATCAAAAATATTACGCTGAAGCTTGTAAGAGGACGACGTAAAAAGTCGTAGCAGGAGAAAGCGACGCAAACCCAGTAGGACCAGAAGAAGACGCAGTAAAAGAAGACGCCGAAGGAGGTGGAGATCCAAATGTGTCGTTTCGTATGTCTGGTGGATGAAAATAATATTGTATTTCCAATTTGGTGTCTCATCTTGACAATATTTAAGATTGCAGATACTGTGGAAAATGCTGCAGCTTAAATTTGAGGGAAAATATTGATTATTGGTTGGAAGGTATTATTGCATAACAGCAGGGATAGCAATGTTATTATTTATCTACAATAAATTGTACATCTGCCGTAAAATAATCCTCGAAAGAAGCGCTAGGTGAAAG